TTGCTAAAAGTTTTGTTGCTAAAGGTAGGCTTGTAAAAAAGTTGTCCGTGGTTATATTTCTTCCACATCCTACATACGGTTCTGCTAATTTCATAGTGACAAACTCTCCAAGGGGAACTGAAGGTTCTCTACGTTCATCTTTTCCCAAATATGGAAAGCCGTTTAGTATATATTTGCTACGTACATCGGATGCTAACCAAAATTTTATACCAAATTTGTCCGGTTTATTGGGCATGTATTGAGTGAATCTACACCTTGCTTTCGTTGGAAACAATTGTTCGTCAATAGTAATATATGGTCCTGGTTTATAACAATTTTGACTGTTGTCAATAAACTTGTACCAAACTTCAGAAATCATAGCGAATTTATCGGTTTGTAACCGTTGGCTTCGTTGATTTCTGTTGTCAAATCGAATAAATCTCATAATCTCCGTAAAGTCATGTCTACTCATAGTATTTGAGAAAAAAGGCGGGCCCCATTTTTTATTCCATAGAAGTGCTATATCTATATTCTTAGCCTCATATGCGCCGCGTGCATACAGAATTGCAAAAAATGCATATAATTTTGCAGTAGACAGTTCCCATTTATATCCCAATACTCTAAATCCCTCTGTCTCTGTGCACTTTCTTATAAGTTCAATTATATTCTTATCAATTATCACAGAAAATGCCGTCCTAACTTTGCCTTTCATAATATTACGTATACTGTACCCAGTCGGGCCTGATGTTTACCTAAAAATATTATGACCAGGTGCTCTTCCAGGATTAGACCCTATTTTTACTTCCTCCCAAACAGTTCCGTCAATCGCAATTTCGCTTGCTTCTTCCTCATTCTCACTATCGGAAGTAACTAAAAATCTTCTTCTCTTTCGTCGTCTACGTACGTTCGAAATATTCTCTTCGTTCTCATCGGTGTTCGAGTCGCTTTCAAGTGGATCATAATTTTCCGTATTGTTATTTTCCATATCCAGAATTTCCTGATCATCTTCAAAACATTGTGCATCGATATCATTTATTCTCTCTAATAATACATTCGCACTCCTCAAACGTCTTGACATTTTAGGCTAAATATTCAACGGAGAAAATAAAAACTAAAATATGAAAATGTAAATCAAAATAGATAAAAAAATGAATAAAAGATAAAATGTGAAACTTACTGCGACGTATTGTTAGTCTTGTTCACTATTTTAAAATTGCACTTATAACACGTAATACGATATAAAATATTACAAAATAATAATAAAAGATTGCCAAGTATGCTCTTTGTGACTTTCACGTTTTGATGCACTCTGTTCGTGTCGCAAGACTATACTGATTTGAATTCGTGAGAAGACGTCTATACATTTCCTTCAGTTATAAGTTTATTTATTTTACGTCATAGTAGATAAGATGGCGTAAGAACATTCGAGGATCTGGACCGTATCGAATATCAATCAAGCAAATAAACACCGCTAACCCGATAGTCGAGCGAGAACTGTAAACACTTGGAAGTGCTGTAAACCATTTTCTGGAAGGCACTTCTCGGATAAAATCGTGCCACAACTACATTAACTTTCGTTTGTAACGACATTATAGTTTTGGAATTGTGTCTTAGAGAGAAACTATTACAAAAATGTATAAATCGTACTACCGGTCAAATAACCGGTCGTGGTAGGTAAGACAGAATACAAATTTTTCTCAGAAAATAAACAATAAAAAAATAAGTGAATATTGAAAAATGTTTCATACATATATATGAGGAAAAGTCGTAAAGTTTAAAGGCGATTCACTTACGTTGAATGTAGGAAATTCCAATTGAAAATTTAAAAACGGTCATTTGACCGGTCCTGATAGGAATAGTGTTAAGGAACGAGACTATCTGAGGAATGTATCAGATGTTATGACCAGTACTTCGACGATCACAAGGTCAAAATCACTATGGAAGAACATGATATTTCAAAGCAGGCCTCGTAAGAATATCAGTTCTTGGCCCTTCCTGTTAAAACCTTATGACCAGCTTCTTAGGATACTCGAGGACTCTGCAGAAGTCAATATGATCGCGTACGCAGACGACCTGTTAGTTGTGATAGACGAGGAGTTGAGGATGGAAATTGAAGAGAAAGGGAATCTCTAATAATAGGTAATAAGTAGCAAATAAATTTTCGTACATTATTTTATCATTAACTAACACAATAAATAATGAAGCGTAATCACTTACAATATTTAAAATTTCCAAAAGATATGAAATACAAAACACTGTATTATCGAATACAAATAAAGTCAAATCGATTCAATGCATTCTATAATAAAGATGTTAAACCATAACACTTAAATTATAAAACATATCTTCTGAAAAATTAATAAGAATTAAGAAACAATAGAAAGAAAGAATAACATATCAAAACTTTTTCGAGAAACAAAGTCGAAATATAAAGAAAAAGCGAAAAAAAGACAGGACACAGAAAAATATGACAAGACATAGCTATCGTCTTAAATAAGGATAATGAAAGTTTTGATTGATGCCGTGTCAACGACTAGGTCAAGCAATTAATTGATCTTAAAATAACTTACTGTACGAAATCTTACATATATGTGATCGAATATGATCAGTGGCGGATTTAATTTTTAAGGGGCCTGAGATATTACAAATTTTTTGTTCCCTATTATTATAAAATAAACTAATTATGCACAATGTACATTTTTTATCTGTAGTTATTCATGCAAACATTTATTATGTTATAATATTATTAAACTAGTAAGAGTGCCAACTGTACTAATTGGATATGACTATGCAGGTATTACGTTCAATGTATCTATGTTCTCGCTCTTAGATACAGCCTATTGCGAGATACTGAATCTCCAATCTACCAGCAATATTATATATGTTTAATTGTTACAATCATCAGAGTATCAAACAATAAAGGTATTACATGGTAGTGTTGAAATAGATAAAAAAATATTTCATTGTTGCATGCATTTACACGCATTTATCCATAATGGAGGCAGGATATATACTTATTCATCAGTTGTACCAGCAATTATACTCCACGGGATCTTTCTCCACGGGGTCCCAACAACAAGAAATCTTATCCTTAGGGACACTTTTACGACCGATGGAACATGCAAAGAATTGCAATATAGTGATCTCTTTGGAACATGGACCGATGTTGTAGTTCACGCATCGATCAGAATCACTTTGCGCAACTATTATACACCTACGAAAATACAAACCAACCAGGATCATCTCAATACAGGAATGATTTGTCCACTGAATGAAAAGTCCTGTCTGAATTCAGGGCCCCGGAACAAAATTAACACCGTCTGAACCAAGGCCCCGTTCTCTATAAGGTCACAACGAGAGACGTAACATTTTCATTGACACAGATCAATGAGTTTGTTCTTCAGATTCATTCGGACGGAATATCCACAACTCTTCGTGATGAAGATTAAATTCTAAATTCATCTACGTGCAAAAATCAATTCGAAACTCAATTAACAACTTTATATATCCACATTACAAAATAGAAATATGCCCTGAAAAACAAGTATTAAAAATGCACTTTTATTAGGTACCATCACATGGAACAAGATGGATTATCAGGTCAAAATGGAACAACCAAAATATATGGTTATAATCGCAGCAAAATTCATTAACCTTTTAAATGCATACCAGTAGAAGTGAAAATAAAATCAATCAACGAATGCCCGTTATACTGTTGAAAGTATGGTATAGATAACAAGAATGAGGACTTATCACCGTAACGTATCACAATAAATCATTCTTTTTGGCACCAAAAGCATGCATAATATTAAGGGAAGCCTCATCGGAAAACTGCAATAAGATATACCCCAATATTCATAGAACCTGGTATAGAATAATTCCTAGACTAGTAGACTCAGTACCTCCACCGATACATCCATTAACCAAACGTACCTAGAAATACATTGACCCGGAACATTTAGGGATCAATGGAATTTATTTGAACGATGATCTAAACAAACTTTGCGTTCACATTATGGAGCCCATAAAAAAACCAGTCATTATTGACACTCTCGCCAAAGGGAAACAAATTGCTCCAAGCAAAATATTGTTGTACAATCTAATGAATGAGGATGCATTAGAAAAAATAGCAACCAAAACTTTACAACAGTTATGGAGAGCACTCGTAATGTTCGGATCAGCGAGCGCTGGAACAGTAGCAATTTTTATAATATTCCACTTGATAAAATATATTGTTGATACTTTAATTCATGGTTACACACTCTATAATATCTATGCAGCCTACACATCATCAAAGCTCTATAGAGTTCTCTTACATAACTTCTTCTTCATCTTGCAAAAGGACCAAAACACTAAGGAACGCCAACAACAACATCAGAAAAGGCAACAACGTACGAAGATAAGGGAAAATCAAGCTAACTTCATATATGTTGACATCACTCAATAAGTCTCCGGTCTAGCTAGAAAGAACAAATTTTTTTTTAGAAATTCGACTTTATTCGTCAACATACTCTTCTTCAAGAGTGATACATTCATTCCAACGCTTCTCTAACTTTTCGATGCCTTTTTTGTAGAACGATTTGTCTTTGCCCTCAAAATAGGCCTCAATTTCGGCAATCACTTCTTCGTTTGAGTAAAATTTCTTTCCCTGGAGCATCTTTTTGATGTCTGCAAAAAGCCAATAGTCGCTGGGGGCCAGATCTGGAGGGTACAGTGGATGGAAAAGCAATTCGAAGCGTAAATCATTCAATTTAACCATCGTTTTCATCGACTTGTAATACGGGGCATTGTCTTGGTGAAATAGCACTTTTTTATTTTGCATGTGAGGCCGTTTTTTCTTGATTTTTACACTCAATCGATCCGATAATGCCATGTAATATTCGCTATTGATAGTTTTATCTTTCTCAAGATAGTCGATGAACAAAGTACCGTGCGCGTCCCAAAATATGAATGCCATAACCTTGCCAGCTGACTTTTGAGTTTTTGGTCGCTTTGGACAATTTTTTCCGGCTGCTGTCGACTCAGCTGGCAATCTTTTTATAGTAGTATAGTAGTATCCATGTTTCATCCATTGTCACATACCGACCCAAGAAATTCTTTTTGTCTCGTTTGAACAACTCTAAACAGCACTCTGAATCGTCGATACGTTGTTTTTTTTGGTCCGGTGTGACCAAACTCGGCACCCACTTCGAAAGTAACTTATGCATGCTCAAATTTTCGTGTAAAATTGTAAACGCACTACTTTCTGATATCTTTAAGGTGTCAGCTATCTCATGTAACTTCACTTTACAGTCTTTCAAAACTATTTTGTGGACTTTTTTTATGTTTTCCGGAACAACTTCCGATTTTGGGCGACCAGAGCATTCAGCATCATCGGTGTTTGTACGATCGCGTTTAAATTCAGCATACCAGTCAATAATAGTTGATTTCCCTGATGCAGAGTCTCTGTAATGCTTAGCAAACCACTGTTTGGCTTTAACAGTATTTTTCCCCATCAAAAAACAATATTTAATCAACACACGAAATTCTTTTTTATCCAGTGTTTTGAAAATTACAAAACTGGGGTCACTAAAACCACTGTAACCTGTAAACTAATTATCAGAATATCATGAAATTTTGACATGTATCGTTTGAAGGATCATATGGATCTGTCAGCAATGTTGTCATATATGTGTCAGACCGGAGACTTATTGAATATATATCTGAATCAATCAATTAATACTCTACATCCATTTACGAAACCTTCATTATAAATTCTTACCTTAAGAAAACTTTTATGTCAAGAACCTTTTTTACAATACCAGATTTTTTAAGCCCTTCATTGTTACTACAAATGCTTTGAACTACGCAATAGAAGAAATTCTGAGCTAAGTTGAAATCAGCAAATATCTCGTATACCTCAAGACTCTTAAACCAAGAAAAACAAAGTATTCAACGAGTGAAAAAGAACTATTCACCATAATTTAAATTATTTTTAGGTATTTTTAGGTATTTTTAGGTATTTTTAGGTATTTATAATATAAATTATTTTCCACCATACTTGTACGAAAATCAATTTAATTTAGTAGCAGATCACAAACTGTTAATCTGGTTAAATTCAGTAAAAGATTCAACTTCTAGATTGATTCGTTGAAGTCTAAAATTGCCAAGTACGAATATAAGATTGTTTACAATGTCAGTAAGAGAAACATAAACGGACTCAAGGAATCACGTAAATATGCGTATACAAATACTTCTGATAGACGATGACGAATGACGAATGACTGATGAATTCTACTCCCCTAAATAAACGCTAAAAATAAAAACCTATTTAATAAATCAAATAATAAATGCAATAACATACACGTAGGAAATAATTCTGAAAACAAAATCGAAAACGATTACGAGAATACCAATTTCAATTGCGAATGCAAATAAAACTAAAGATAATAGAGATAATGAAAACGACAAAGACGAAACAGACCTCAAAGAAATACTGTACGCTAATATAAAGTCAAATTTTAGAAATTAGAGACTATATAATCATGTATAACGTACACTGCGCGTATTTTTTAACAACAATTGGAACACCCATAGACATAAGTGCGAAATAACTAGAGGATAACGAAAAGTTATCTTCAATAACAAATATAACATTGGAGAGAGTAAAAGTAATTAAACGAAAGATATTTCATAGAATTACTCGTCAAGGAAAAATTTCCAAAAATTGAAAACTCTCGACGAGCCCCTCATTTTCTTCTGGACGCAATTCTTGAACTGGAAACAGTAGCTACAAGAACGATCATAAATTTAAGACAACAAATTTATATTTCGATTATAATATATATATGTATATATATATATATACATCTTTCTATTCAATTTGCTATTTCGTAATAAGTGAGATAAATGTTTGACTTTTTTAATATTGATTTTTCGGGTATCGATTCTAAACAAAATACGACTTTTTCCATATTCACTTCTTTCGAGCTCCTGAAAGGAGCGGTCATTTGTTTAAGACGATCAATCGAACAAGTAATTTGTAGTCATATCTTTCAACAGTATAACAAAGATCGGACAGCTTTATTAAAAATCGGACAGCTATAGCCGTCATTTGCGGCAATGTGTTAAAATCAATATATCACGTTGATTGCCACGCGAGTTTACAAGAAAATCTCCGTCAAGCCATGGACTTCTAAGATTGATGCGGATGTGTTAACATATTAGGTTTATTGTTTCTAAGAACAAAATGCCTAAGAATTTCCATTGAGTTGAAAATTTATATTGGAGAATCGTATTGAGCCTATTGTTCTTTATCGTAACAGAAGATAAGCATGTTTAAAACAACATTTCAGGATATGCATTCAATTGAAAATCTTTCCTCAAGAACGAAACATCTAAGAAAGCGTGTGAGATTCGAAAATTATTTTTTCTTTTTGAAATATTTTTTCTGTAATGACGAATTGTTAAAATTTTTATCCTAATTTTTTGGAATATCAAAAAGAAAAATGGAGAAGTTATTTCTTGATGAATCATATAAAAGTGAAGAAAAAACCTGTTACAAGGCTTACAAAAATTCGAATAGTAGCGATGAGATTTTTCAAAAAGAGACATAAATAGAATTACATCGTCAGATTCTGATTCGGATACTGATAAATGCAGTGATAGTGAATGTGATATAGATATTATTGATCATATTTTACAAGAATTAGTTGTTCAGGAAGAAAGAAAAGTTGATACTGAAGAAAGTACAATCCAGTTTAATGAATAGAACGAATTTAGTTGTCGGCAATCATCATTTTCTTTCACTGACACAGTCGACCTTATTAGGGAATTACCTGGCAATATCAATCTCTACGATATGCTTACTTTATTGGTTGATGACGAAATTATATTATGCTTACTGGCGTTAGAAATAAATAAATATGCTGAATATCAGAAAATGTAGAGAATTAGTAGCTATGAAATTAATAGGGCTAACTATATATTGCTATTCGAAAAATGCGACTGGAGTGACAAGCACTTACAAGACGTGCTTGTAAATTATGCTACTCAAATAAAAGACTTTATACGGACCGATTAAAGGGATGAGAAAACGTAAAAAAGATAACAATGTTTTGTCCAGATTGACCTAACCAATTCCAATTTTGTATAGAATGCTTCAAAACATTACATTGTAAATAATTTTTTTAATAAACCATGTTTCTATATTACTTTTATAACAATAGTTTTATTTAATAGTTTTATTACATCCTCTGAAATATCTTTCTAAATACCTTCTAACTTACTTCGTAAGTACTCGAATAAGCAGCAGTCAATATAAGTGACAATAGTGCGTTTTTTGTTGTTCTAAGTTTATTTACGGCTTATTAAAGTATAAGTAAATCTCAAAATTTGCTCCTAAATTTCGAAAAGGAACAAATTATGATGCTACGAAAGCAAAATAAAACATTTGCTGAAATATCTTCTATTATTAATAGATCAGAAACTGCTTGCGAACAAAGTTGATATAAATTTTTAAAGACTGGCATATATTCTGATTGGTCAAAAAATGGTAAACCACGCAAAACAATGCTGTAAATAGATCGCAGAATTCATCGTTTAAGCGAAAAGAATCGTTTTTGCTCTGCAGTCGACTGAAAGATAAATGTCTCCTGGGGAAACCCTGGTGGCAATTAACAATCAGGGTAACACTGGAGCATTAGATGATGGAGACACCCTATTAGAATACATCAAATTGCATGAGAATTAGTATGAAAAGTCAATGAAATTGGATCGAGATTGGCAAGCCAATAGAAGCACCGATACAAACCTTTATACGAGCGATGGTTTTCTTTACATTGCTCAAATATGGAAGATCGAGTGGAGAAGTTCGTATAAATCGGCTTAAAATGTTTACAAGCTCTTTGTGCGGGCGCGTTTGTATTGAAGCAAAGTAGTAATTTATCAATCATAGATATAACAAATATTTTGTTAATTACAATTATGAAGAAAATAAACGAATTTATCGAAGAAAAATCACCGCAATAGTAATCTAGAAATTATATATATTTGTTTTATTTTATTTGCAGATCTAGAATTGGTGTGACGGTGAAAAAGAGAAACATTTCAATAAAATCTTTTGTTGATGTTGAATGGAGAAAAATTCGACTTAGTCATTACGATCCCTTGAATCTTTCCGATTATTCATCCTTAATAATTCCCACCGATAAGAACTACCTAGCAACGCAATATATCCAACTATAATGCTTTATCTTCAGTAAATCTTCAGCTACAGTTTCTACGAACAAAAAATTGTTGATATGTTCTTATTTCCATAAGGTTAATTTGAATACTTCAGATGGTCTTTCGTACTATTTTCATAATTTACGCAAAGAAGAATTGTATTTATCAAGAAGGCAAATGAGCGGAAATATCATAGTATTGGTCGCAATAGACTACAACGGAAAAAGCGAAATAAAATTTGTTACAATTAGTATGAATGCTGCAAAATATATAGACATATTAGAAAAGCAGTTAAGTCGACATGCCAATAGCATTGGTTGCAAAAATTATATTTTTCAATATAACAATCCCACTGTACATACAGCAAAACACGTAAAATGATCTTTCCAAAATCATAATATACAAATTTTACCATAGCTTACAAGACTTAATATAATAGAAAACTTTTTGGGATTGTTAGTTCGTGCTGTATATGGAAACGGAAAACAGTTCCTCATTGTAGAGAAATTAAAAACTGTATTAGAAAGTATTGTGTCAAATTTAGTTAAGAACAAATTTCAAATTATATAAATCGATTCCGCAATGTTTAATGGAGGCAATAAAAAATAAAAGTGGCATGACACATTATTAACACTATGCTGTCCGGCGACACCACAGTGGTGTCGTGCGCGAAATAGCGGCCAACAACCGGTGACACCGGCCGAATTTTGCATTCTGTTGGTGTTTTATTTAGATAACAATAAGTTACATATGTCAACGAGTTTTTTGTTTTTATAAATACTTGTGCCCTTTCATCATGGCAGACGAAAGAGACGATACAATTATTTACAATGAATGCGCGGACGTCTTGTCTGACGTTCTGGATGACTTGGCCGATTGGGAAGAAGACGATGGATATCAAAAAAATGAAAGTGAAGCAGAATCGTCGGAAGATAGTGAAATACCTATAAGAAGAATTCGGCGAACGCTACAGTTGCCAACTGATTCGGATGAATCAGATGAAGAAGAAAGTGCACAGTGGTCAGAGTTTGATTTACCGAGGACTAATAATAAATTTGAAGGATCTCCAGGTTCAAACATATTTCCCAAAGATACACAGAGCGTCGAGGATATCGTAGAATTATATACTGGGAACGATCTATTTGAATATATTATCAATAAAACCAACAAGTACTACAGTTAAAATTGCAATAGAAGGAAACTGGATAAAAAAATGCCAAATTTGTGGACATTACGGTACCCGAACTTAGAAAATGGTTTGGGCTTGCTATACTTATGGGTATTGTAAAAAAAGCAAGGATCGATGATTATTGATCAACGAATCCGTTGATAGACACACCGATATTTCGCAAAATGTTGTCCCGCAACCGATTCAGACAAATATTATCATTTCTACATTTTTCCGACAACAATAAACCGAATAATGCCGACCGGCCTTTCAAAGTGCAATTCGTAATTGATTATTTTTCCAAAAAGTTTAAAAAAAATTTTAACCTAAGTCAAAACATCTCAACTGATGAAGGAATGATACCGTGGCGTGGATGGTTAAATTTTAAAGTTTACGAAAATTACGAAATATGGCATACTCATTCGGATGCTGTGTGATTCGATTACGGGATACATTTCCTCATTCAAGATATACTCCGGTGTTGGACAGCCTTTAGCTAAAACAGTGATGGAACTATTGGCATCTTCTTATGGAAAGTGGTATCACCTCTACATGGATAATTATTACAACAGTGTAGAACTTGCAGGGAATTTACTTGAAAAGAAAATTCGAGTTTGTGGAACGATACGACAAAATAGAGGATTTTCGGAAAAATTAAAGCGCGCAAATGTCAATGTATTTGAAGCTTGTCATCAACGGAAAGGTGAAGTACTCGCACAGGTATGGAGAGCTTCGGAAACTAAAACGATACGAATGATATCTACAACACATAATGCCACTTTGACTAACACTCAAGTAAAATGTAGAAAAACCAATTACACAATAAAAAAACCTGAAAGTGTTTTAGACTACAACAAATACATGAAAGGAATGGATCGGGTAGAACAATATTTGAGTTATTACCCTATATACAGAAAAACTATAAAATGGTCAAAAAAGGTTTGCATGTACCTCTTTAATTGCGTATTATTTAATGCATTCCATACATGTCAATATTTCAATACAGAACACAAGAGTCACCGGTTTCACGACTTTTTATTGAAAATGTCTGATTCGTGGATAAAATACCATGTACCTGCTTTTGAGCAAAACTTGAAGGTTGTCACTACATCGCGTACGTCTCATCATGATCCGGTTGACAGACTTTCCGGTCACATAAAGCAACACCAATTAGTACTTATTTCCAAAACGAATAAACGAAAACGAAGAAACTGCCACGTATGTTCCAAAAACAAAAAAGAAGAATAACAAACTTAATGTGCAAGTCTTGTGGAGTTGCGTTACATCTTGGAGTATGTCCCCCTGTGGGTAGGACGTAGTAGAATACTTCCACAGTACTCCCTGCTTGTCGTAAGAGGCGACTAAAAGGGACTGCGTGAATGGTGTGTGAATGTTCTTGTACGGCTATTACTTTCTTTGTTCTTTTGTCATATCTTTTTCTATTCTTTTTCTCTCTCTCTAGCTTCCTTCCGTTCCTTTCCCTTCTTTTGAGGACCCTGGCTCCCATTTATAATGATATAATTATGAATAGTACGACCAGTGGGATAAGCGAGCATGGGAGGGATACCCGTGCCACGGCGGTGTCAGGTGGTGGTAGGGCAGGCCACCCGCTGTTGTGAACCAACGACTGCCAGGAGTTTGGGGTAGACAACCTGGCCCCAGCTCTGGATAATGCGTCAGGAAGGGCACCGCAGATAGGCGACCTGGCCTGTGGTGCATCTAATGCGCCAGGAAGTGTAGAAAGGGAAGAGTGCCACTTGGAGAAGTGGCAAAAGGCTGCCAGGGCCGCTGAGGGCATGCGGTTCTCCGGCCTGACGGTAAGAAGAAAATCAAGGAAGATCAAACGTGCGAGGCCCGGGGTCTACTCGTCCGAGGAGGATGAGTCGGGGGTAGACTGGCGCGTGCTGGATGAGGGAGGACCGGCGGAGACCCCCGCCTTGTCTCAGGTGGAGACTGATAGGGTGATCGATACGCTGAGGGATGCCTCCATAGAGGCCGAAAGCGCCAAGTTGAAATGTCGCAACCTCAAAGGAGACATCTTGAAACGGTCATGAAACGTACCCATAGAATAACTATGGAGGGACTCAAGACCTCAAGGCTAAACTTAGGGCCATGGAGCAGCGCAATAAGGAAATCACGGACGAGAACATCCGTCTCAAGAGGGTAATCAAAAAGAGGGAAACTCCCTTGGCTGGGAAAAGCCAAGAAAGGACCCCGGACGCAAGCCACTCAGACGGGTCGGTAAAGGCACTGGCAGAGGCTGTCCGCAGTGTACAGCAACAGCAGCAGCAACAGCTGCACCAGCAACTGTAACAGCTGCACCAGCAACAGCAGCAGCAACAACAGCGGCATCAGACATTGAGTGGAGCAGCGACTGGGGCTGGTGGACCACACAAGGGCCCCACACTTCGTGCTGAGTCCACAAGACCCCCTGCGCAGCAGGTAAGTGTAGGTAAGACACTAACCCCGCAAGAAGATTTTGTGCAGGTGCTTGGCCGAAAGAGGAGGCGGGTCCAGAGGAGGGAAGCAAATGCACTCTCCCTGGCTACGTCAAAGGATGATGTCAACGACCCTCAACCATTGCGTGGACAGGCGCCCCCTAGGAAAAGAAGGAAGGGGAGGAGCGGTGCGCAACGACGGAAGAAGAGGATGCAAAGGGAAAGAGAAGTGGCTGCAATTTCCCTATCCTGTACCGAGGAGACGATGTACAGGGATGCACACGTGCGGGCCACGAAGGGGATCAACCTCAAGGACCTGGGAATCGGCACCATGTCCTGTAGGAGAGGACTCACGGGTGCCTTTATATGGCAGGTACGAGGCAAAGGGGCAAATGCGAAGGCCGACCGGGTGGCGGCGGGCTTAAAGAATGCTGTCCCAGGGGCAAAGATCACCCGCCCCCTGCGCACGAGCACCATAAGGTTGGTGGGACTGGACGCGTACGCTAACGGTACCGTCATAAGGGACGCATTTCTGGAGGTGCGGTCTGGAACAGACCCCAACCTCATTAAGGTTAGAGAGATCAGGATTGGCAGGGTCAGATTAGGCGAGGCAACTGTCACGGCTCCGACGCCTGTCATCCGAGCGGCCCTGGAGAGGGGTAGAATAGACGTGGGACTTACGAAAATGAGGATGCATAAACTCAGGCAGCGGCCCCTCACATGCCACCGGTGCCTTACTCGAGGACATGTCGTGGCAACGTGCCTGGCCACTAAGTCCAGGACAGACCTTTGCTACGTATGTGGGAAACCGGGCCACGTGGCCGAATCATGTACGGACAAAATGGCGTGCCCGGTTTGCGCAGATGCCGGCCGGAAGCAGACCAACCACCGTGCCGGTTCCTGGGAGTGCCCGGTTGTGTCTCCCAAAAAATGGGTGGACAAGGTGTTCGTGAAGGCATCAAATGTTTGCCCGGAAGCAATAACCCAAAAAGACCCGCATAAGGTCGCTGAAAAAACTGCAGAGACAGTGAAAGTGACCGAGAAGAGAAGTGTACAGGAAGACATGGAGGTGGAACAAGGTGTACCGGGCATCTCAATAGGGGTAGAAGCAGCGGAGAGTTCGTAGACCATGTCCTCTGCTGTTCTACAAATAAACATGAACCACGCGCGCCGTGCACAGGACTTGCTGGCACAGCGCATGCGCGAGGACATAATGGAGTTGGCGGTCATTGCGGAACCATGGTGGGTTCCTCCGGGGGATGAGAGGTGGTTCTCATCCCTAGGAGGGACTTCACTCTCCGCGGTGCTTGTGGGCGAGAGTAGAAGACCCTGTAGACTGCTGCATCGGGGCCGCTTTTACGTAGCCGTTAAATGGGGGGACTCGCTGGTAGTTTCGGTATACTTTCTTCCCAGCGAGAACATGATCATGTTTAGTAGATTCCTTGATGAGCTTGAAGTGCTCTTAGGAACATTCCCCGCTCTCCCAGCGCTGGTGGCTGTCGATTTTAATGCCGGGTCCAGCAGATGGGACCCGAAAGGCAGGAGTAACCGCTGGGGTGAGTTGCTCTGCGTCTGGGCCAACAGAATGAACCTGGGTCTGCTGAGCTGGGTTGGCTGTCCCACGTGCATTCGACCACAGGGTTCGAGCGTTATAGATCTAACGTGGGGCACGCCGGCAGCTGGCGTCCGCCTCTCGGACTGGAGGGTGGATGAAGCTGATTCCCTGTCGGACCATTTCTATGTTAGATTTAGCTATAATCACGAGGCCATAGGGGTCCGAAACTCTCGCCCACAACATAAAAAACACCCTCGTTGGAAGATTAATTCCCTGGATGAGGACTACTTGGTTGCGGCCCTCATTTCAGTGGAGTGGACGGGTGGAACTATGTGCGGGGAGAACACGGTCAGTGCGGACTGTGCAGACAAACTTGTGAAATGGGCACAGTCTACACTGAAACAAGCGTGCGACATAGCCATGTCCCGGGTGAGGGGACAAACCCGCGGTAGTAAAAGTACTTACTGGTGGTCAGACGAACTAACGAACCTTAGGGCCGTTGCGACGATCACAGAAGGAAACTTTCCAGAGCCAGGAAAAGGAAGAACAGGGAGGAAATAGTGCGGTGTCTGGACGCCCGAAGGAACGCAAGGAGGCCACTGACTAGGGTTATTAAGGAAGTCAAGAAGAACTCCTGGAAGGACCTGCTGGACTCTATAGAAGATGATCCATGGGGCAGATCTTACAAATTGGTCTTGGGAAAACTCAGGCCTTATGCCCCACCACTAACTGAAACCCTGGAGGATAAGGTACTGGAGAATATCCTCTCTGAACTCTCTGAATCCTCTCCCAGGAGGACCGGGAACTGATGAGCCGCAGGAACCTACACTCTCAGAGGTGACAATCTCTGCGGAGGAGGTCTTGGCTGCCGCCAGGAAAGGAAAAGGAAGGAAGGCTCCTAGACTGGATGGGATACCAGGTGTGGTTGTGCGTGCTGCGTCCACACACTGTGGGAAAGGGTTGGCGCAGTGCTTCTCCGCATGCTTGAGAACAGGAAGGTTCCTGACAGTGTGGAAGATAGCGAGGCTCGTCCTGATCAAAAAGAAAAGGGACGCGCCGGACTCACCGGGATCATATAGACCAATATACGTGATTGGCGAACTGGGGAAACTATTCGAGCGCATAGTTGTTGGCCGGATCAATAGCTTTTTAGAAGAAACTCGGACCCTGGTGCCATCACAGTATGGGTTTAGGACGGGCAGATCCGCTGTAGATGCCATCCTCGATGTTAAAAAATTTGTGGAGGCATCGACGCGGGACAGGAAACTGGTTATCCTGGTGAATATGGATATCTCTAACGCTTTCAACACCTTGCCGTGGACCATTCTCGTCAGGGCGATGGAGCGAAAAAACTTTCCACGCTACTTGGTGAACATCATCAAGAGTTATCTAAACAATCGCGCCATAACATTTATAGACAGTCATGGACGCGCCGTGGAAAAACAGATGTATTGTGAGGTCCCACAGGGATCTGTTTTGGGCCCTACGTTGTGGAACATTGCCTATGACAGTGACCTCAGAACCCCAATGCCAGGTGGCTCCCGTGTTGTCTGCTATGCGGATGACACGGCCCTCCTGTCATCGGGATGGGACCTGTCTCAGGGTATCATGAACGCCGAGCGGGACCTGGAAGTCCTGGTAAGGGAGATTGAAAATATGTTTTTATTGATTCCTTTCCCATTTCTCTATCCGAAATATGCAGTGTCTTATACAGTCCCGGATAAAATGATAGCACGCGTGTGTTATTTTTAATTTCTCAAAGATAGCTTAAGATCTTTAATTTTGAAAAATATTACATGTAACGATGCAAGACAAAAAAACTGGCATTGAATAGGTCGAATTTGATTGCTCTTCCTAGTACAAAATGTAAACAGACAAATGTAAAGAATCTTATTTGGAAAATAAGATTCAACTTCAGACAAATAAGCAACAACTAGTGTCGCGTATTTTAAGCATTTTGAAAAATGAGCCGAGGTAATAAACTCAGTGAAAAAGAAGTTGCAAAAATTATTACTTTAAGAAGTCAAAACTTGACAATTTCAAAAATTGTGAGAATTGTACAAAGAAGTCGTAAGGTCATTTATAATTTATTAAAAGATACGGAGAATTATGAAAAAAAAGACCACCAACCTTATCAAACTGTGAAAAGCAAGCTATTCTTCGTATCATTTCAAATTCAACTTGTACAGCAAGAAAAATTGAGAAATAATCCATTAACAAAATAATAAAGAGCAATGTTTGCAGTTTGCAAGAAACTGAGTACAGTGGAAAAAGTAATGGAGAAAAGTATTATTCACTGATGACAAAAAATTTAATTTAGATGGTCCACATAGATTTGTGTGCTATTACCACGATCTAAGAAAGAAAGAAATTAGAAAAACTAAGCAACAAATGAGTGAAGGTGATCTGATGGTTTGAGCCACAATAGGATATAACTGTAAAACTGATTTGCAGTCAATTCAGGGGAAAATGAACAATTAAAAATACTTGAGATTAATTTAAAAACAAATTATTAAGCACAGTGAACAAATAATAAAAAATAGTTTTATCTTTCAACAAGATAATACTAAATTCATTATGCAAAAATTATTGAAACATATTTTGCGGGAAATATATTTTTTCTGCCATGGCCTGCACGCTTTCCAGATTTAAATATTATTGAAAATATTTGAACATAGCTTGCAAGAGTAGTATATAAGAATAGTAAATTTAATAACATCCACGAGCTAAGAAAATCTCTTAAAATAGAATGGGACAATTTATCTAAAATAAAATCCGACAGTTATATAAATCATTACCTAAACGTATGATTGAAGTGATAGAAAATAAAGGAGGTTCTACACAAAATTAATACTTTCACGACGGGTACCGTCTATATAAGGCAGTCACTTGGTGCATCACAGTGGCTGATGCCATCTACATACGATAGTCACTTTTTGGCCCACGAAGGCTGACGCCGTTTATACACGGCAGTCATTTATTAGTTTATAGCGGCTGACGTCGTCTAGATACGGCAATCAATTGTTGGTTTACAGAGGCTGTCGCCAACAATATACGGCACAGACTTTATTGTTGGATAGATAAAAAGGAGGTTTTTATGTTATCTACTATGCACTTAGATAAGTTCGTAAGTGTACCAAAACGTTCTATAAAAGAAAAAATAGTACGAAAACCACCTTGTATACATGATTATAATAATTTTATAGGAGAAGTTGATAATACGGACACGGTACTAAACACAATTGCTTCAACACATAAAAATACAAAATGGTACAAAAAATATTTCATGCACATGATAGATATGTGTATATGGAAAGCTTATTGCTTATACAAGTTGAAGACTGGTGTAACTATATCTATGGTGAAATTTCATTTAAAATTAATTGAGCAATTACTTGCAAAATATCAAAAATCAATACAGTGACATTCTTTTAATACAAGTTTTAATTCTACTGATGATAATTCTACAAGACTCACAGGAAGACACTTTCCTGCTATATATACACTTCCTGCTATATATACTTTCTTATTATGTATACATTCGAAGGGAAAAATAAAGTACAAGATGCGCTGTTTGCAGTAAAAACAATAGGAGACATGAATCACGTTATGAGTGCAAAGAATGTAATGTTGGATTGTGTATTTGTCCCTGTTTTAAAATTTATCATACTATAAAAGATTATTAAAAAATAACATAGAATAAATACTATTAAAATCATAATTATATTATTATTTTATTTCAATAGCGAACTCAAAATAAAGCTGTAACTTAGTAAAGTACATTGGATATATAAGTACATTGTACAGGAGCGCCGTTGCGAAAGGGTTAATGTAAACTCAGAGGCAAATTATGTTTTTGGGATAGATATGAATATATATATTGAAAGTGTGCTATCTATTGTATTCGCCTTTGATTTTTATCTGTTTAGATTGTGTACTATCTGTACGAAGGTCGTTCAGATTTGTCCGATTCAATATTAGTTTTTTTCATTTTGCGTTGTTATATTTATGTATTATTATCTAATATTATAAAATATTAAGCCATTTATGAGAAATTAAATACAACACACATGTGCTATCATTTTGTCCGGAACTGCAGTTTTGTCGCACCTTATATCATAGAAAGGTAGATATTCTAATGAAACTTCTATTTAGGCAAAAATGTGAACATTTATACTATAGAAATTTATATATTTTAGTCAACTATTTTTGATAGTAATAGATATTTGAACGAAAAGTTCAATATTATAAATATAATCATTAAAATTAAAAGTGTCTTATAGGTTCGTCGCAGAGTGTATAACAATGCATATAAGAAAGAAATGATCCTGGAAACTTGGCATATAATTCATCCTCAGAATTTCAGTTGTGAACACTACAGTAGTGACAAAAAAGGACATAAAAATGAGTTTAAAAAATTATTAGTTATGAAATTATTAGAGCTGCCTACAGACACAACATAATCTCATCCTCATTTATCAGTATAATATTGAAATTAAAAAAAATTTTTCGCGTGAGAGTATTGGACATAGATACAAAATATATTATACATGCAAACTATGTTATGCAAA